AAGAGCTCCCTATTCCCTCCTGCTGTGAGAGGGACACATGGCACTTGCCCAGGGCAGGAGGTGGCACATCTAAGTGGTACTGGTAGAGCTGTATTTTGGATGCTTCCAAGTGCTTGTTCCAATTCTGGTATTTCCTAATGTTGGATACTTCCTACAGAAATACCTAGCCAGAATCCATTTGCTGAATACCTTTTCGTGCTTGGAGAAGAGATCTAAAACATGCCTTGGTGCTGGGAAAGATCAGCCTCCATCTCTTTCCTGGGTTTTGCTAAAAGGTGGAGATGATCTGATTCACTGTCTCACTGCTTCACTCATGCAAACCCCTCAGGACACCACTGATGCCACTCCCTTGCCATGAACCCAAAGATGACACAGATGAAGGCCCAGAAAGTGCTCAACTGTTAGACACAGTGGAGAAAAAAAAAAAGAAGGGGGAAAATAAAAAATAAGAAAGGAAATGGCACTGTCTCTGTTGGTTGTAGACTGAGGGCCATGATCTCTGAAGGCTTTTGGCACATCACTTCCACATTGACTGCAACTTGGAGTCAGCGGTGGCTACAGGATAAGAAGAGAGGTCAGTGTGTGGAGCTTGCAGCACAGCAACAAGTGAGAGAGGAGTGAAAATGAATGATTTAATAGTGGAGGACAGCAAGTGGCCATGAACAAAATCCTCCATGGCCTCTTCAGGGTGATTACAGCCACAGCACATCATCTCCATCAGCCTCTCGCAGCTCTTTTCAGACTCAAAATATGAACTGGAGAAAAACCTACTGCTGGGAGCTCATGGGAGAGCAGGCAGCCCCTAGCAGGGGAGGGGGCCCCAGCATTTGGAGTGGGGTTTGAGGATGCCCATCTTCCAGAGAGCAGAAAGCAAACACTTCAGTGAGCATCATCATGTATCAATGTGCAGCAGCCTTAATGAGGCTCAGCAGAGATGGGTGACTAATTCCAAAGCAGTCCTTTATTCATGAACATGGCTTCAGGTAGATTATTCAGGAGCACACAACAGCTTCTTTGAGTGCGTTCCCTGCTCAGCAATCGCCTTTCCAAAGTTTCCTGTTGTGGCTGAGTGGTCAGATAATTCATGTGACACGGTTTCCGCTCCTGACTGGGTGAACTTGAAGGCACAAATGTCACATTTGTGAGTATAATTTTTCCTCTTCATGTATGCCTCTGACATTTGCTTTCCACTTACCTTTCTGCCAGTAACATACAATCGCAGCTGGTGGGAAGGAGCAGTGCGAAGGGGCCTGGAAAAGGAGGAGTGGAAGGGCCCGGGAGGGGCGAAATGGGGCCTCTGGTGCCCAGAGCCTTGGCAGAGGCAAATGCCAAGCTCCCCAAGAGCTTCTCACTGGTACCCAGCAGCTTAATTCAGTATAAATGCTTCAGGAATACACTGCTGCCAAGAGACCTGTACGCTGGCAGCAGCAGATGAGGTAAATGCCTTGTGTGTACAACAGCCGGTGGTGAGGGGAACCAAGGCAGCTCACCCCGTGCTCAGGGCTCCTGGTGGTACAAGTGCACGTGGAGACATTTTGCAGGACCTTAGTATATCTGTGGGTGAGGCACACTTGACTACACAGGAGACAAACTGCCCTTTGGAAACAGCAGGACCAGCTGCTCACAAGTGACCATCCACACGCAAGTGTTGACCAGCACCAGGGAAAGGGAAATATACCTCAGCATACCTGCTCAGAAGGTCTTCTCTGAGCTGCCAGGCAGGTACAGAGGAGATGGCATCTGGGACAGTCCTGACATCAGAGCTTGGGTGTTTCCTCCTTGGGCCATGGCTTCTGCTCTGCATTCAAAGTGCTGCTGTTATCTCTTCTTTTAACTAGGAAAAAGTCCTCTATGGAAATAAATTGCTGTGTGGCTGATGTAGAGATGTAGAGTTCCTTAATTCTAGTATTTTTTTTTAAGGTAAAGATCAGAAGGTGGTGAGCAGGAGATTGTGACTGTGAAGATTTCAATGGCTGTTACAATTTGAGCAGGCAAAGCCACAGCACCAGGGGCTGATCCTCAGCATCATTTCTGGAAGTTCAGGCTCCCTTTTCCCACAGACTCTATTGTACCCATAGCACAGCACCCTCTAGGGAAAGTCAGGCATCCCTACTGAGCTGGGCTTCTCTGGCCTGGGGAAGTCTCCAGCCCCACCAGTGGCTTCAGATCTTCCCTGGCTCCCCAGGAGGAGGCCACCAGGCCACTCTACCCTGTGGCATAAAGAGCCTCTCAGTAAATTACCTTCTTTTTTATCTCTGCGGCTGAAAAAGAAGCTCAGCCTTTGCTGATCACACTATTTCAGGCAACCATAGCACTCATCAGTGCTTGCAGCTGAGCAAGTTGTGCACTTGTCCAGACGCATCCCTCTGCTTGCCAAAATGCCAGCACCTTTCCCATCCTCTCCCCTGCTCCCACCTCCCAGGGAAAAAAAGGAAAAAGGAAAAAAAAAAAATCCCCTCTGCAAGCCAGCAGGGGTTAATGTTGTCAGCCATGACGTCAGGATCCCAATTTGCCCGGAGAGTCCCCCTCCCCATCCACAAACTCCCTCTCTCCTCCCCTCCTCTTGTGACTTTGCAATGAGCAGCAAAACTCCACAGGAGCTGCGGCAACAGCACTAGGGAGACCAGTCCTCCCTCGGAGAGCAGCTCCTTCTGCAGACAGGGATTTATTTATTTTCTACACATGCATATCTATATGTATTTATTTACTGGCTTGCATTTGTTTTTCCTTTTTTTAACCCTTTCAGAAAAGCCCCAAACCTTCCAAGTGACAAGCCTGCGATTTTCCTAAAATAAAATCACATCACAGGGGGGCTGGGTTGCCTCCCCTTCCCCCTCAGAAAATAAGGAGGGAGGGGGGAGTAAGTAGGTAAAATCCAGAATAAAATCATATTGCTAGATAACTCACACCTCCCCCCTCACGCGCGCACACACACACACACACACACTTTCTCCTCCTCCTCTTCTGTGAAGGTGGGTAGCAGGAGCCATGCAACATCTGCAGAACCGGATGGCAAAAGAGCAGGAGGGAAAATAATCCAAGTGGAGTGCTCAGGGGACGCTGAGTTCTTTCTTTTTCTTTCCCCCCCTTTTTTTTTTTCCTCCTTTCTTTCTTTTCCTTTTTATTTATTTTTTTTTCCCCCCATTTTTTCCCTTCTTCTCCTTCTCCCGCGTTACCTGTGAGATTCGACTGCACATTTTGCTGAGCCCATTTTGGGGCATTTTATTTTTCTTTCTCTTGGGATTTTCTCCATTGCCAGAGGATGTCTCTTGTTGAGAGGATGCTGAAAGGAAGAAGAAACAATTTCTTTGGCTGGCACTGAAGGAGGGGGGGGGGGATATTTTTCCCCCACATTTTTTAGGGTTTTTTTTTCATTATTCTATTTCTCCAGGAAATCATTAACTGGGGGGGGGTGTTTTCGGTTTTCCCCCCCCCCCCCCTTCCCCCCCCCCTTTTTTTTTTTGGAGGGGGAATTTCGGAAGACCCATCCTTCTTTCCCCTCCCCTCCCAAGATTATTTTTTTTTTCATCTTTCGTCTTTGTGGAAATGTGGACATTTCAGGCAGACAGATTGAGTGGAATTGTCTCTGCTTTAGCAGCTCTTTGTCTCGCCTGCTGTGCGCAAAGGTAAGGATTGCAATCCCAGGCTGCGGGGATAGGGGGGCTGCTACAGGGTTGGGTTGGGTTGGTTTGTTTGGGGTTTTCTCCATTGATCTGTATGTGGGAAAAGGGAGGGGGTTCTTCCCCCCAAATGCTTCCCTGTTGTTATTTCCCGGTCCGTGTCATTCCAGGGGGAGGAGAGGGATGCTCAGACATGAGCTGTGGAGCAGGCTCTGCAGACGCAGCCCAGCTCGCAGCCCACTTGCAGCGCGTCCCCCTCCATCCATCCCTCCCCCCCCTTCCACCCCCGTATGCGACCTGAGAGAAAATGGCAAAATGAAGCATTT